GGTACCGCCCTGGGCGCTGGGAATGTCCCCCGCCAAGGCGAGGCCCAAGGCAGACAAGGACGGATGGGTGGATCAGCCGCGAGGACGCCGTGCCCAGAGGCAGGCCCGCAGCGCAGCCTCGCGAGCAGCCTCCGCCAAGTCGCAGACCTCGGCGTCGGCGGCTAGTGGGGCGCCCAGCGGTGGAGGGGCCACTGCGATCGAGAGGCTGCAGGCGGCAGTCGAGCAGCTCGAGGCGCTGCAGGCCGAGCCGCCTGACGGCGTGGACGGCTGCTTCACCGACGTCGTGGCCAGCCAGCTGGAGGCGAAGCGCGCCGAGCTGGTCAAAACCCAGAAAGCGGCAGTAGAGCAGAAGGTCTCCGCCCTGCCGCGGTCGGCGCAGCTCCACAGGGAGGCGAACGCCACCAGCAAGGCGGGGAAGCGGCCCCGCGCAGCCCGCCAGGAGCTCGAGCAGAAGCAGGCGGCGCGCGACCTCGTCGAGGCCCAGCTCCAGAAGGCCCAGGAGGAGCTCGCGGAGCTCGACGCGGAGGTGGAGGAGGCCAGCAGTGCGCTCCAGGTGCTCGAGGAGGCGGCCCGCGAGGAGGCCGAGGCGCTGCGTCGCCAGCGCGCAGCCGAGTGGGCAGGGGCCAGCCAGGTGCCAGGGCTCCTCATGCAGCTGGATAAGTTGCCCGAGGCTTGGGGCTCCAGCAACTTTGAGGTGGCCTGGGCGGCCATTCGCGCCCAGATGGAGGCGGTGCGTGGACAGCTGGCGGGGCCCCCCGCTGGCCCCAAGCGAGCGCCCTGGGCCGAGTCCTGCCCCATGGACGGGATCAGTAGCGACGATGGCGATCTCGCAGGCAGCAGCGGCCCCTGGCAGCCACAGCCAGCCGCGGAACGAGGCCAAGCCGAGCGGCGTGGCAACGCGCGTGGCGAGTGGCCGACGGTGGCCCAGGCGTGCAAGCGGGAGCTGGCTGCAGAGGCAGCAGACCTGGCCCCTCTGGTTGCTCGCCCTGCTGGCCGTGCAGCTGGGAGCCGCGTCGGAGGTACGCAGCCAGGGCCAACGAGTGCCTAGCGAGGCCAGTGCGGCGGGCCAGCGCCAGCATGAGCGCGGCCACGCCGAGGCGTCCCGCCGTGGAGGAAAGCGGCCCCGCAGCCTCGGGAGCGCGCTGGCCCCACCGGCGCCAGGCCAGGCCACGGCGACGGCCTTGGGCGGCCGCTGCGGGGTGGGGGCCATTCGGCTCCGCGACTGCCCCTGGAGTCGGTGCCTGGAGGTGATCGAGGTCCCCGTCAGGTGGCACGGAGCCAATCATCATTTGGCGATGCTCCAGGGAGCCCGCCTAGCCCCGCTCGGCCTTGAGGGAGCCAGAGAAGCGCTGTACCTGCAGGGCAACTTCAACATGGAGCCAGGAACGCCGCATGAGTGGCAGATGCTGGCGGGCCTGCTGCAGTCAGGCGAGCTGCCGCTCCGGATGGAGGCTCTGGGGCAGGAGAAGGCAGCAGCCAGGCACGCCATTGCCGCCTTGCGGAGGCGCCGTGCCTTGCCCGTTGACGCGGGACTGCAGACCCTCGTACGAATTGGCGGGCACTTCAAGTCGGAGCAGTACCTGGCCGCGGTCTTCGGTGACGCGCTCGGCCGCACGTTCCGCAGGCCTTGGGAGCTGGACATCGGTGCTGGGTTTGACGCAGGGGCAGGAGCTCGGCGCACACCCGACCGCCTCGAGATGCGGAAGCCCAACCGCGGCCCCCTCATGCAGCGGCCGCCGCGCAGGGGCGCCATCGTTGCGCTGCCCAGGCCAGATAGCGAGCTAAGCCTGAGGGAGCACAGTGGGCTCGGCGCCTACATCTCCAACACGCACTGGACGAGAAGTATCTGGTGGACTTGCACGCCAGCCGACGACAGGCTCAACGGCAAGCTGTACCTCGGTGGAGCGGCGTTCGAGCCGCAGCTCGGCGCCCTGCGCCGCCCTGGCGGAGCCATTGCCCAGTGCGACGTACGCAGCTACTTCGTCGCAGGTGTGTACGGCTCTGTTTGGCGGGACCTGACGGCCAAGGGCGGCGAGGACTTCGCTGCAGAGGTGTTCGCCAACCCTGCGGTGCCAGCGGGGGAGGAGGTCGACATCGCCTGCAGCACCAAGGTGGCCTACCTTCCAAGTGGGCATGCGTTGTACGCCACGGCGCCTAGCGGGGCCAACGGCCACCCTTGGAGTAGGACCCTGGCGGTGCTCGAGTAAGGAGTTCTCGCGGTGAAGAAGGTGCCAGCCCACTGCTCGCGGCAGGCCGCACTCAGAGGGTTCCTGTCGGAGGCCCAGAGGCGCAGTGACGAGCCCGCTGACCGCCTCGCCAAGATGGGGGACATGCGGCATGCAGTGGTCAGGCAGACTGCTGGCGAGCACGCGCTGGCGGAGTTCGTGCGAGGGCATGGGCGCGGGGCCCGCCAGGGCGCCACCGTCTGGATAGGCATCGGGGCCAAGGTTTGCGAAGGGCTCCTTCCTGCTGGCGAGCGACGCCAGGTGCATCCTGCAGCAGTCGAGGAGCCTCCGACTGCTGGAGTGGCCCTCGGCGTTGGCGCGCACGCCAAGCGGCCACGCCTGGAGAGCAGCCGTTCGACGGGGAGCAGCACGACCGCCCTCTCGGCCACTGCCGTCGCCTTCAGCATCCTGGGGCGCGCGCTTTGCTACGCCTGCGTGGGCGAGGGCGAGGGCGCCCAAGAGATCGTGGCCTGCTCCAAGCGCGGGGCGCACACGGTGCTGGGAGGCCGCTCAGGGGCCAAGCCTCGCCTCAAAGAACGGCGCCCAGGCGACAAGACCGACAAGTCAGGCAGGAACCAACGCAGCCCGTGGGAGCGAGGACTCCATCCTGGAGGCAGGCCGCGAGCGGACAAGCAGAGAGTGAAGGGGGAGGGCATCCCCGCTTTGCGCTCGCAAGGGCCAGTGCCAGGACATGCCCAGGAGCGCTACCTGGAGCGGCTCGGCATTGAAGCGGAGTCAGCAGGTGGTGCCGCGGCCGAGGCCGGCAGCACAGACAGCGGCCCAGCTGCTCCAGCGGCGGTGCAGGCGGCGGGGGCCGCTGCTGCCAGCCAGCCCCAGCAGCGGCCTGCCTCGGCGAGAGCTGGGCTCCTCGGCGCGCAGGGGACCACCGAGGCTGAGCCCGCCGCCGCGGTCAGCACGGCGATCGATGGCCAAGAGGGCCGCAGGGTGCGCCGCCGTCAGGCGCGCCGCGGCCCGCCGTCCGAGAGTGAGTGAAGGATAAGCATCGGTCTGCTCACGCTGGTTGCTCCTGTGGCGAGTAGGCACGCGTGACCTGTGGTGCTCGGGGACTCGGCTTCTTTCGGCAACTTTGGTCCCGTCTGGCCCTGTCCGTGTTTTTGTTGGGTTTCTCCCTGAGCCTTGAAGGCCCCGCCTTTAACTTTAACTTTAACTTTAACTTTAACTTTAACACACAGAACACACAGCAGAACACACAGGAGCACGGCAGTACACACAGGAGCACGGCAGAACACAAGAACAAGAGGAGCACGGCAGAGCACGGCAGAACAAGCAGGAGCACGGCAGAACACGCAGGAGCATGGCAGAACACACAGGAGCACGGCAGAACACACAAAACACACAGGAGCACGGCGGAACAAGCAGGAGCGCGGCAGAACACACAGGAACACGGCAGCACACACAGGAGCACGGCAGAACACACAGGTGCACGGCGGAACTGACGGCAACCCACGCAGGAGCACGGCAGAACACATAGGAGCACGGCAGAACACGCAGGATCACGAGGAGCACGGCAGAACACACAGACTACATGGGAGCGCGGCGGATCACACCAAACACCTAGGAGCACGGCAGAAAAAGCAGCAGCACGGCAGAACACACAGGAGCACGGCAGAACGCACAGAAGGACGGCAGAACAGATAAGAGCACGGCAGAGCAGGACCATGGCAGAATATACAGTAGCACGGCAGAACACACAGGACCACTGCAGAACACGCAGGAGCACGGCAGAACACACAGACACATACACATATGTACACGCACGCACGCACGCACGCACGCACGCACGCACACACACACACACACACACACACACACACACACACACAGACACACACACACACAGAGAGGCAACATATTTTCACGCAGACCTTAGGAGCACGGCAGAGCAGCACGGCATAACACAGCAGCGCCGCAGACCACCACGCATGGACACACATGCACATATTCCACGCACGCACGCGCACGCGCAAACGCACACACGCCACGACATATCTGCGCGGCAGACCAACACAAGAGCAGACTTCACATACCTAGTGGACAAAAGCGACGCTTCCCGTTCTTGTCCGGTCAAGTTTTTCCTGCCAAAGCCCGTTTGTAGGAGGACATGCCCGACCTAAGCGTAAGCCCTCCTTGATCGGGCCAGTGCCTGCGTTCAGGTAAAAGGAGCAGTTCACGTGCAGTGGCCGTCGCCCCTGCGCCGACCCATTTTTTTCTGTGCGCGCCCCCATTTCGAAGAGGGCGAGAGCGAGAGCCCGTCACGCGCAAGAGCGACCCTTCACCAGAGCGACCTCCGGCCCTTCTCGTGCGCGCCGCCCGCCTGCACGGGGCAGACGCAAAAGGCGGCGACACGCACGCACCTGAGAGCGACCCTTCGCCTGGGCGACCTTTGTGGCGCGCAGCTGGCCGAGAGGGGGGGGCGGGGGCAGGGGGGTAAGCCCAAGCTCGCGGGCCGCCGCTTGTCGCACCCGCGCGCAGCGGTGGGCAACCGCACACCAGACCGAGACATCCGATGCCTTGGTTGTGTGGGCCTTCCGACCAGCGCCGCCGACCCTGAAGGGGGACGACGACGACGACGCCGACGCCGCCGCCACCGCCGCCGCCGCCGACGCCTCCGACGCCTCCGCCGCCGCAGCCGCCGCCGCCGTCTCCGACGACAACGACGGCGACGACGACGACACGTATTGCCGCTGCCACCTTCGTCAGCGACGACGACGGCGACGACCACGCCGTCGCTGCCGCCGCCCGCGGCCCTCCGAGGCGCGGCCGCCCGCCACCGCGCCGCTGCTGCGCCCAGCGCGGGTGCCGCAGAATCCCGCGGCCGAGAGCGGAGGCCAGCCGAGGCCCGCCGGCGCCCACCAGGCCAGCGCCGCCCGCCGCCGCCGGCCGCCCCCTGACGCTTGCCCTCGGCGGCGGCACTCGCCATGGGTCACCGAGCGCGTTCCACTACTCGCAAAGTACCTACTCGCAAAGGCTCGAAAAGCACATGCCTGCCTTGATGTGATTTGTCGCAGATCGCGAGCAGGTGCTTTGCGAGCAGTGGAACGCGCTCGTCGAAGGGGGGAAACACATCCCGAGCCTAGCTGCCCTGGTACGCCCGCTTTGAAACGCAGCATGCACCGCGCTCAAAGCGTCCGTGCTACCACGTTGCGTGTTGGCTCGGCGTGTTGGCCCGCGCCTTGGCGAGCGTAGCGCGCCGAGTGCACGTGTTCAATCTCCGTGTTGAGCTCCGTGTCAATACGCTACGGGTTGCGTTCTGCGTATCGGGCCGGCTGAGGTCCTGAGGGGAACAGATCCTCAGGTTGTTCGTCGTTGGCGGACTCTCGGGGCCCTCCGCGGGCCTTGGGGACTGTCAGAAAGCGACGCGGGATGCAAAAGTGGCCCCGGGGGAAGGCCCCAGGGGCCAGGACCCGTTTCCCTCAGGGTCCGCTTCCCCCGTGCTGACTACACTCAGGGGCAACGACAGGGGGACGGGCATAGGGGGGATGCATCGATCCCGAATCGCCCATTGGTCGCCGATGGGGGCCCGATAGCCCCAGACTGCCCCAGACCGTGCGGATTCGCTATCGGGGGTCGATCGCCGATCTCTCGGCGAGGTGTCGCCGATTCCGGGTCGGCGTGTCCCCCCTAGGCCAGTCCCCTTTATCGTCGCCCCTCACGCACGTAAGAGTGATTTTCGCCGATGCGATGGGCTTGGGAGGACGGTTTCTATTCCCCTCCTCCTCCTCCTCCTCCTCCTCCTCCTCCTCCTCCTCCTCCTCCTCCTCCTCCTCCTCCTCCTCCTCCTCCTCCTCCTCCTCCTCTCCTCCTCCTCCTCCTCCTCCTCCCTTATTCGCATGGAAGTTTAAGAGCCGCAATTTTTGCAAGTTTGAAAATGTTGGGGTGGCCTCCTCCTCCCGATGCTGATTGGACGCGATGCGATGTCAGCGTCTTGCGCGCCGCGGGCTTGGCCTCCCCGCGGCCCCCGACAGCTGCGCACTCTCAAGGTCATCAGTTCCCTTGGGTCACGCCGGCGCGTAGCCGATTCGCAGATCTCCGGCGGCATGGTTTTGTCAATTCCGGTGGTCTTCTTCGATTTTGGCCTCGGAGGCCCGCTGCCTGGCCCCTGGGCCAACAGCTGTGCTGGGGCGATATGTCGGCCTCGGGGGCCCAGTCTGTGGCCCCGGGAGACTCAAGAACGGATCCGGGGCGAGAGGTTAGCCCCAGCCCCAGGGGAGGGGTTCGGGGCCTCCGGGGCCGCGCAGCGAAAGACACATGCCGTCGGATGTATGGGCTCGTGGGCTCCTGGAGGCTTCCTCGCTCCGGGGTGCTCTGCAGCACCCGCGCCGCGTCGAGGGCGCCCCGGGGGTGCCGACTCGTCGCGGACGGCCGCCCGAGGCCAGAGTGCCAGAGGTATCGACTGGAGACCGAGTGGAGGGGATCAGGACCCGGACGGCCGCTCGTCGTGATAGGAGCACGGCAGAAGGGGTCCCAGCAGCGGTCCCCGCCTCTGGGGGGCCAACTCCAGGGCCCCAGGGCCGTCGAACTTCCTCTCGTTGTGATAGGATCACGGCAGAAGGGGTCCCAGCAGCGGTCCCCGCCTCTGGGGGGCCAGAGCTCCTCGGCCCCAGGGCCGTCGAGAAGCGCCCAGGGAGGCAGGAGCAGAACCGGGGGAGAGGTCCAGGCCTCTCTGGGGGGACCGCGCGGCGTTGGGAGTTCCAGGGAGGCCCAGAGAAGCGCCCCCCTCGGCGGCGAGCGAGGGGGGAAGTGAGAAGGAGACTTCTCAGAAGCCCTCCCGCCTTCTGAGGATCTCCCTGTATCTCCGGGGAAGGCGTAGAAAACTTGTCACTTCTCAGAAGGCCGGGGGACTTCCGAGCCTTCTGAGGAGGCCCGCCCCTTCTCCCGTCCCCCCCCCGGGCTCGCCGCCGACCACACCCCTCCCCCCCCCCAAAAAAAAGTCCCAGGCGGGCCCACGACGGCCAAGGACGGGCTCAGGATGGAGCAGGTGGCCCCTCTGCCTCGCCTCCTCGTCCGCGCGACTCCACGGCGGCGCGCGGGTGGCGCAGCATCTGCGGCCAGCAGGAGCTTGCGCGCGTGAGGGAGGAGAGGTCGCTGGCCGCCGAATCTTGCCGTTGGCCGCCGCCTGCTGGCGCTGGTCGCCGAGGAGGAGGAGGAGGAGGAGGAGGAGGAGGAGGAGGAAGACCCCATAGCATGGCGAAGAAAAGGAGGAGGAAGAAAAGGAAGAGGAGGAGGAGGAGGAGGGTGATTGGATCCGATCTCT